TGTTGTCTTCTCAGTTCAGAGGGACCCCTGCCTGTCTTTGCCCAGGGCCCCACATTTCCTAAATCCGCCTTGGTTAAGCCCTCCTGTTAATGTGTTTCTAACTGAGCTTTTAAGCAAACACATTATGACAGCACGTCAATAACTGTGGATCAATCTTTTGCTAATGTCAAATTTAAAATGCAATCTATTATAAAAATGAAGAAAAAATCAATATGTCTTATCTTTAATGCATTAATCACGCCCAAGTATTTCAGTTATGCACAGACCTATAGATTCCAGATCAATCAGAATGCTGTTTAATGTTGTCGGTGCTTAAGGCCTGCAGGGCTGACTGGAACTAGGCAGATTTTTAGGGTTGGGTTCTTCTTAATGAGAGGAATGAACCTGAAAACAAAACCAACTGCTGCTTTGTTTTTCTCACTCAGACTTAGCAGAGCTTATTAACCTGGTTTAGTTTTGTGCTGAAATGAGCACATGTACTCTGCAAAAACACTGCTTAGGTCGTGCTTAAAGTAATCAAAGTTTCACAAAGAAATAAGTTCTGAGTCTTTTTCTTCTTTTATCAACTAACAATAAATGAAAATAAGACACATCCTTGTACTCTAAACTCCTTTAGGTTGCAGTACTCAAAGGAAAAGTCAGGTCAGCAAGGAATAATCAATGGATCATTATTTATACTTAAAACTAATAAGTTTGCAGTGATTTAATGAATCTAGCATTAAAAAAGATAAGAAAATCAAAATAATTTTTGTTGCGATCACTGAGTCTAGGCTGTTTGCCGTTAGGGCGGTAAAACCTGATGTTATCCAATGAAAAGAGTTATCATTTGAATGCCAACGTGAGCAGAGAGTGTCGCTCAATAGTCTCAGAGTGAACGTTGCTCTAGTTCACGTTCGTTACTTCAAAGCTGATCCGTTCACTAATGTATTCAGTGAACACAATTCATAGAATGTCATTCCAAAAAAGTTAAAACCAATCCACTGGACTTTGTTTCCAGGTTTGAAGACGTCTCACTTCCATCCAGGAAGCTTTCAATTCAAAATGTCTTGAATAGTTTTGAGTTCGAAGCTTTAATTTATTGATCTTAATTCTGACATTTTAAAGAAAGAGGTCTGTTGACTATGATCCATCTATGTTCCTATATTTCCTTTGGTCATTTAATCTGGATCATGA